GGAGGGAGGGACGGAGGGAGGGACGGAGGGAGGAAGGAAGGGAGGGATTGATGGTTGGATGGATGGAATATACATGGATGACAAAGAGAGCGAGCAAACAAATGAACAATAACAAACTCCTAATATTTCTCTGCTCACAAAGGTACGCGTCCGAACGGTTGGACTTTGGTATTAAACTTGGAGAGAAAATTGGCCGTCCTATCTTCAGTATACCTCAGAATGTTCTGGAACTGGTGTATGCCCAGTGCTTGATATGGTTAGTAGAACAGGAGGTTCATTTTGATTTATATCAATATTACTTTACAAGATATTTCTTTCCAAAGTTTGCGGAAAGATTGGTATTTATATAAGAGATGTAAATGTGCGGGAAGGAAAGTTTCATCACGTCGTTCATTCCCTTCTATCCTCTCCTCTCCTCTCCTCTCTTCTATTCCTTTGTTTTGCCTTTATTTTTTGCGTAGCCATTTATCTTTTATCTGTATTCTGATTGATTGTTGTCTTCAGGATTGGGATGTGGTACAGTCCGATGCTAACGTTAATGGGAACCATTAAATTTTTCATTCTCTTCTACGTCAAAAAGGTACCAGTGCTTTAAATGTAAAGCAATGACGAACGTTGCCCTGGAAAGTAAGTGCTAACAGATCGTTGATTTCTCTTCATTCACAGATGACATTGAAGTACAATTGTCGCTCAGAAGACAAAGCATACCGCGCAGGGAAATCCAACTACTTTTTCATGTTGTTGCTATTAGTAACATTTTTCCTGTGTGTGGCAGCAGTCGTATATGGAATTACGCAGTAAGTACTAGGATAAATCCCGTGTCTCTTTTCTGTGATATAAACACGCTTTGTAAAGAACATGGCGACCTTATTGTACTCTACAACAAAACTAGTCGATAAAAAATGCGCGCACTGATGTCTCTTTACCTTGATATAAACACGCTTTGTAAAGGATACGGCAACCTCAGTGTACTCTACAACAAAATAAGTCAATATGAAATGCGCACGTGTCTCAGTACTGTGTTAATAACGCTGGGAGCTGTGAAGAACGCGAGAACGAAGCTTAGCAACACGAGGCGTCGACGCGCGTTTTGCTTGCTTTTTAAGTTCTCCACAGCTCCCTACTTACACTGCAAATGAAACACGTGATCTGTTCTATATTGCGTTTATATGGACGATTTATTTAGCGCGAGCGTTTTCTTTACCTGTCCTCACATATAAACATGGTAGCCCAGCCAATCAGCGCACGCGTTGTATTGCAGATGTCAAGTCATGAGCTGTTTTTATTTGTCTCCATACAGGGTTCATCCATCGCTTCTGTACGGCCCTTTTAGGTACGATTTTCACCAAAATAATATCATTATAACCATATCTAACTATAAAAATAACTAAACAATTTAATTTGAACTGTCTTTTTCTCCTCAGAGGTCTTAATCGAATGTACAAGATAGTATATCTTACGATACTTACATTACCGATTGGATTTCAAGACCTTTTTCAAGTCGTCCAGTCTCCTGTTTTTGTTATTGTGGTCGTGCTTCTCATATGGTAAGGTGTTTTGCTCTCTGGCTCTTTGTCAGTTGTAAGAGATATGATGATGGTGCGTATGTAGTCGGCAGGGGCGTAACCAGGATTTTCCGAAGGGGGAGGCCCAAATTAAAAAACCCGCCTTTTTTTTTTTTTTTTTTTTTGAGTCACCGAAACACAGAACAAAAAAACAAACAAACAAAAGCGTTTTATTTTTACAAATTCTAAAAAGCTGCCAGCATTTTGTTGTCACGAAGGGAGGGGGCCTGGCCCCCTTGGCCACCCCCTACCTACGCCCCTGAATTGGGGTACGTTAGGTACGCTGGGTTGACTGACTGAAGGAATGAGATTGCAATAACATTATTAATGAGGGAAGGAAGGAAGAAAGGAATGAAATGTTCTACATATAATTTTATTCATTTTTTCAGTCTTGGGTTATATTTCTTCTACGCCACAGCGAAGGTTTACTATCGAATGATCTCCGAGCTGAGAGAAGAACTCTCTATGGTAAAACCCTTTAAATGTTACTGGCTTTGATCAAAACTATATTGATCTTGACCCAAAAAGATATACTGTTTCTTGCATGTCGTAAACTGGATGAACGAATAACAAAAAAGACCTAAATGGTTGTAATGCTACTAAATGGTTCTTTACGTGTACTTTGAATTTATCGGAAACTTTTGGCGGGAAAACGCGCTTAACCCTGTGACTGTCCCTGGCAACGAACACTCACTGTTTTATGATTGGCTCATACAACATATTTTCTCATTATTTTCTCCAGGAAACAAAAGACAAGAAGTTCCTTCTAAAACGATTGACAACATCTACATAATCCCAAAATGTTCTAGAAAGAATCAAATGGAAAAATATGGGGTTAGACTTTGACTGTAAGAAACAGACCTTCTAAGGGGCGAGGTCAAAACAATGGTCCTATAAATAGGGACCCGATTTTGTGAATTAAGGTGGTGGGTACCGATATATACCCCCTCCCCCGTCAGAGACCTGTTTAAATGCTCGATACTGAGGGTCTGTAGTGGCAAGTTCTATACACAAATTTGTTTTTTAGCATACATGCAGACAGACAGTCCATTCATTTCTGTGATTTGGCTTTTAGTTTTGGAGATATTTGGGGACAAAATCTAAGATTTCACTTCCAGAGGTGGTGGGCACCGGATAACACCACCCCTCCCCCCTAAATTGGGTCCCGTGAGATGACAATTGTTTTGCCCTCATCCCTAAGCTTGGGTGTAATGCTTTCTCATTTCAGACCACGTGTAATTCCAATTCCCTAGAGTATTATTTCTTTGTTTAACGGAATAATGAGCATGAGAAGACACGTGGTCTGAAATGGCAAAACATCAAACCCAAATTAAAGGTATAGATCTATTCAAAGTAATTCACTCTRTTCTGTGTGCTAGAATTAGTATTAAGTGAGGTGGTGTTAGGTCGTATTGCGCATGCTCAACTAAACCATTCTTATTAAGGCAAGTTTCTTGCACTGCGCATGCGCATTGCATTATTTATGTGTAGTTGGTTTTTGGATCAACCAGGCAACGTTCAGGGTGAATGATAATAGAAGTTTTTGAACCGAGTTTTTCAAGGGGAGGGGAGGGGCGCACGCATGCGCAGTTCATATACTCAGTTTGCGCAACTTCATATATTCCATTTAACTAGACTATTGAAGATCTGATATGAAACCCTAAAAAACGATCCTGGCTCAAAAATTATATGTATTTCGAAATTGCGCATTAGCATAAGGAATAAAGAAATGATATGACTTGAAGCAATATCTACCGAACATTTGTAAACTTTATTCCTACGATTGGTTAAAGTAAAAATACTAAACAAGACAAACATTCTTGGTCTATTCCCCGTAAGACCCAAACCCACAGATCACTGCATCTACCTGTATTCCCGCCCGCCTTCCTACTCGTGATTTAGAAGAAATAAATGATGGTTCGTTATATCCCCTTGGATTTTAAAGCTAGTTATTGAAGAAGTATTAGTACAGTTAAGATTTGACTATTAAGATATATCTAGGATGTCTAAGTCTTAGGTTTCCATCTATCACTCAAGAAGTACTATCTCAGACAGTTGCAACTTCGATTAACGGAAGCCAAAACGTACTTAGACGTCTTGAAATATATTTTATTAGTTGTGTTTTGAGAAAATATTATTCACGAGAATGGATGTAATCAAGTCATTCACGGTTGTCAGTCTGTTCCGATCATAAGGCTTCCGAATTCAGGTCCAATGAAAGGAATAACTGTCCTTGTACAGCATTTGTACATGACAATCAGCTTAGGCGCACATGGATCATCTTGTTTTACGTTTCCTTTTTGTATCTGAGCTTCTTGCCACGCGATAAGGTTGTTCGTGTCTTCAGCGGTCAACAGGAAGTGAACGACGACATTAAGTGGAGATGAACCAGGAGGCTCTTGGCTTGCTTTCTTTATCTGCATGAAACATACAATCACTGGGGGTTAATATATATGTTCATAATTGAGATATGACGACACATATCTGGATGCATGACGTAAAACAATATCTTTTACATGACGCAATGCACTCTCTTTGTAACGTAATGCATGGTGGTGCTAAATGACAAAATGCATTGAGCATTGACGTAATATTTTGGGCTACGAGACGAAATACAGTGCCAGCTTGACTTAATAAAGGAGGGTCTTTCTTTACAAAAGAGGTGCTTTACTTTGGGTCAATCAAAAAGCAAGTTCCAAATTTATGTTGAAGTCTTGTTGCTTGAGAAAAGAGAATATTTACCGCGTTAATCAAGTTTGTCCGGTTTCCAAAACTCCTGACCATTTTAATGAAAGCCGTTCCATCGTTTTTGATGTATCCATCCATGTAGAAGCCTCCCTTCTCTAGGACACCATTTTCACCGAGAATAGCCATCATCGCTTCTTTGATGAATCTATCCACGGGTATATTGTATACAGCTGGTAAGATATGCAAAAAAAAAAAAAAAAAAAAAAAAAAAAAAAAAAAAAAAAAAAAAAAAAAAAAAAAAAAAAAAAAAAAAAAAAATTATAAACTTAATCTCTACTCGACTTGCAGCTTCTAGAAACTTACCATTTTATTTTGCATACAGCGGTCAAACACAAGGCATTCAATCGAGGCTGCAAGGTCATTTAAAGGGATTACTCAAATTTAAACCTTGCAGCCTCAGTTAAATGTTTGGGACCAATGTATGGGAAGTGGTGAATGATTTCATTTTGCCAAAAGATTCAAAAGTCAAATTAAGTCATTGCGGCCATGTTGGTAGTGAGAAACCTTTTCGTTACTGGAGTACCTTCAACATGGCCGCGATGCGGTAATTACGTCGAGTTTTATACAAAAATAGTTTAGAAAGAAAACATTCCCAAGAGAAAGGAGTGTGAACTCTTAAGAGAAAGAAGTGTCAAAAGACAAGTTCTACATTTGATATATCCAACGGCGACAAATCTTTTCACGGTTTATTTAACATGGTGGTTATGACGTCCCATACATGTAATTCCCATATAAGGTTTGGCTTTTTGTTTTATGACCCACGCGTGTGCTCATGCAAGGCTCTAGGCGTCGCCATATCAAGAAGGACGTACATATGTTGCAAGCAAAACTACATTGGATATTTAACGAGCAGGTTAGTTTTACTGATTCTTACTTGTTGTGTAGATTTGAGAATTGATATTGAGACTGTTATCTGCGTTCCCGTCGTCATCATTCATTCGTTCATTGAAGCCATCGTACTCTCTCTTGCCGTTTTGTTGAATAGCTTGTTTGGAGCGGGTTGGTTCGTGTGCTGTGCTGTTTGCTACTAAAGCGAGAACAGTCTTGGAGTGGAAGCGCATCAGGACTAGTTAGAACAAATATGAGCTATTAATGCTGCCTTTTTAAAAAATCTATATTTATTCATTTGTAACTCTGGCAAACATTCACGAACAAGGAATCTAAAGATAATTGCCCAAGGCTTTTAGGACAGTCACGGCTTCATGCAATATGCAACAATACATTTAAGCTGATTTTAATTTGTTTCGGTTTACACTTCTTGGGATTAAGATAATCTTTGTTTAAGATAACTCTTGATGTGCGTTAATACCGGCAAAAATATCGCACAACATAAAATGATTTTATTTATCCGTTGAAAGAAAAATGACAGTTAGTACTAGTTAAAAGAGTGACTTTTTTTTAACCCGTGAAAAAATTGTACGCATAATATATATTTAGTAGTAGACTCTAAACCCATTGTTTTCTTTTGTGTTTTTTTATCAACCGGTACTAAATAAATAGTCATTTTTCTTTCCCGTCCGGTTAAATCAAATTACTCCAAACRAAAGAAAACAATGGGTTTAGAGTCTACTGCTAACTGTTATACGTACTATTTTTACACTGATTAAATAAAATCGCTCTAACTAATGCGCAACAGTACTGTCTTGCAGAAGTAACGTTAATTGTTCTGCTCCGCTCGCAATACGTTTCTCTGTTGCACGAAGCAGAAGCTCTTCTTTATCAGAAGCTTTAATTCCGGCTGTTCTATTCCACTCCACTCCATTCCAATATCTTTTTCTCTTTCACCTAAGCCGCTTACAAACATATATACCACCAGCCTCATTACTCTCGTCTGGCATATTTTCAATTTACTAGTTTCAAAACTGACTGCCAACCAATCAGCTTTCCCMAAATTTTTTTTAAAGCCATGAGACATTTTATAATATTTACAGCAAATTTCGTTTCCCTTACTTGCAAGGTCTTTAAAAATAGTATGGAAGAGAGGATTAGTTTCTTGGCACCCAAATAGCTCTAAATTGATCCGCGCCGACACTATGCCGGATAAATTTGAATCCGAATTTTTATTTATTCGGTTAGGCCTACTGTCCACGCTAGTCCGGGCGATTCACCGAAAACAAATTTTTTTGAATACGGTCTCCAGAGTGGAACAATTTGAAAACGCCGACTAGCCGTATTAGTGTGTGGACGGAAAACTTTTTTTTAGTTTCGGTTTGAAAATTCGGATTCAAATTTATCCGGCATAGTGTGGACGGGGCCTTAGATTACATTCGACGTCAAGATAATATCACTGTCATGACTGTGGACAAAATCCATTTTAGTATTTATCAGGTTTTTAAAGTTAAAAAAAAAAATGGGCCCCTTGAGAAAGAATAGTAAAGTCGTTAGTAAAAATAATCATGTAAAAATATGATGAATTTCTAAGATCACGATTCTTTAAGTAGAAAATGTTTCTCTGTTGAATCTGGTGGATAAAAAACAACTCCCAAGTCGTTGTTTGATCGCATTCCCTTGAGTATTATTAGAAAGAGGACCGACCACCGAAAGCTAGTAATCGGCAAATATGCAGACAGCGCCCTAACCGACTAACTTGCTCCTTTACAGAGACTAATACAATGCGTTTTTTGGGCTCAACCTTGTGAAATATTCTAGATCTATTTTAGTCTTGATAATATTGGGATGGGATTTTTATAACTAATTTCTTCAACACGAAGCCAAGACTAAAAGAATGTCGACATAGCACTGATTTCTAAAACGTACCTATGATGAAAATCCTCAGTTCCAGAGTTAAAATTCTTTTCGAATTTTAAGGTAATTTTAAGCTCCTTTTTTTGAGTTTGGGATTGACATATTCCGGCCATTGTGTATCCGATATTCGAAATATATATGAGAAAGACATTGCAAAAAAGTAAATCACAGTAATGGGAATTGACTACGTTTAGACTACTAAAGTGCAAATTCTATCAGCATGCAAGTTGATTTGATTCTTTTTAAGTATAAAGTGAAACCTCTAAACTATATGTTTCTTGAACAAAACAAAAAAAAAAGGGTTTTAGGATGAATATTACTTACATTCTAAGGCAATCTTGTATGCTTTGTTTTCTTGCTGTGCGCTTCCAACTGCAAGCAACAAACATAACAAAACCAGATACTTCTCCATTGGGGATAGATGACGATCTATACTGAATTCTCAAGCCAATATATTGATTCAGAATCGTCCCAAATCCATAGCTAAAAAGTTCAACTCACTCTTCTTGTAAGAATGATCGGAGTAAATCAAACAACATGAAGTATGAGGTTGCTGTAGCGACGAGTGGTTCTCCTATAACACGTAAAAATCAGGCGATTTTAGGCACCCTTAAATAAATAATTATTCGTCTGTTTAAACCTATATTGGACCACATTATGCTGAAACTAGTCAACCAAAAAGCCTCCTGTAAAATATTTCCAATCCTTTCTTATCAAAATGATAGAGCAAAAAATAGCTCGATGCTACATTTTCTATTTAGTAGTTAAAATTTCTGTTTTGGCGAAAAAACATTTAAGCGAACGGCTTAGAGAAAATTCAATATAATCTGACCAATCAAAATCGGTTCAGCTATCGTTTAATTTGTAAAGTTTTAGATTTTCAGGTTATTACTCTCAATATTCTACACTTAATGTTGTTACTAGAACATTAGAATGGAAATATGCTTGTACGTATATGTTACGGTATATATATGTATAAGAGTAAGTTTGTTGTGAAATGTGACTTCCGCTCAGGTTGTCGAAATGTCGGTCACCAACCTGGACGATCATATTTCACAACAATATATACAGTCAATGTCATTAACGTTGTCCACCAAAAAAAGACATTTAGACATTTACACATTTAGGCTAAAAGAAATATCA